TTCACACAGCAGAGACCAGACCATGTTCACACAGCAGAGACCAGACCATGTTCACACAGCAGAGACCAGATCATGTTCACACAGCAGAGACCAGATCATGTTCACACAGCAGAGGACCAGACCATGTTCACACACAGCAGAGACCAGATCATGTTCACACAGCAGAGACCAGATCATGTTCACACAGCAGAGACCAGATCATGTTCACACAGCAGAGACCAGATAATGTTCACACAGCAGAGACCAGATCATGTTCACACAGCAGAGACCAGATCATGTTCACACAGCAAGACCAGATCATGTTCACAAGCAGAGACTCAGATCATGTTCACACAGCAGAGACCAGATCATGTTCACACAGCAGAGACCAAACCATGTTCACACAGCAGAGACCAGACTATGTTCACACAGCAGAGACCAGATCATGTTCACACAGCAGAGACCAGATCATGTTCACACAGCAGAGACCAGATCATGTTCACACAGCAGAGACCAGATCATGTTCACACAGCAGAGACCAGACCATGTTCACACAGCAGAGACCAGATCATGTCCACACAGCAGAGACCAGATCATGTTCACACAGCAGAGACCAGACCATGTTCACACAGCAGAGACCAGATCATGTTCACACAGCAGAGACCAGACCATGTTCACACAGCAGAGACCAGATCATGTTCACACAGCAGAGACCAGATCATGTTCACACAGCAGAGACCAGATCATGTTCACACAGCAGAGACCAGATCATGTTCACACAGCAGAGACCAGACTAAGTTCATAAGATACGAGCGAAACATATTATTACCATGACAGTCAATCCCTTTACTGATTAACAAGAGAGAACGATTTGTAACTTATTCGCCTCTAGTACAAGGTCAACTATTTACTCTCTAGTACCTAACTAGTTCTCACAAGGTAGACCTATCATGTTCTCTAGCTAGACAAGGTATATTACTCTCCACAGCAAAACTAGTTCTCTAGTACAAGGTACATTACTCTCACAGACCATATACTAGTTCATCTAGATACAAGGTACTATTTCTATCCAGCAATAATACTAGTTCTCATAGTACAGGTATATAGTTCCAAGCAATAATACTAGTCTCTAGTTACAAAGGTACATATATTCTCCAGCACATAATACTAGTTCACTCTAGACAGAGTACTATTACTCCCAGACATACATTACTAGTTCTGTACAAGGTACTAGTTTTCCTCACAGACCAATATACTGTTCTCACATCAGAGACAGGTATATTATCTCACACAAATACCTAGTTCTCTAGTTACAAGGCTAAGCATATTTCACTCAGTACCAGTACATTAATACTAGCAGAATTTCTACTCAGAAAAGGACTATTACTACTCAGCACATAATATAGTTACTCTAGTACAAGTACTATTTACTCACAGAACATATATGTTCATCAGATACAAGGTACTATTACTCCAGTACATAATACTAGATGTTACTCTAGTACAAGTACATTTCTCCAGCACAAAATACTAGTTCTCTAGTAAAGGACTATTACTCTCCAGACATATTATAGTTCTATAGTACATAGGTACTATTATTCCAGACATTATACAAGTTCTAGTACAGGTATATTACTTCAGTACAAAATTTTACTAGTTCTAGTAAAGGTCTATTACTCTCCAGCACATAATACTAGTTCTCTAGTTACAAGGTACTATTACTCTCCAGCACATAATACTAGTTCTCTAGTACAAGGTACTATTACTCTCCAGTACATAATACTAGTTCTCTAGTACAAGGTACTATTACTCTCCAGCACATAATACTAGTTCTCTAGTACAAGGTACTATTACTCTCCAGCACATAATACTAGTTCTCTAGTACAAGGTACTATTACTCTCCAGCACATAATACTAGTTCTCTAGTACAAGGTACTATTACTCTCCAGTACATAATACTAGTTCTCTAGTACAAGGTACTATTACTCTCAGCACATAATTTACTAGTTCTCTAGTACAAGGTACTATTACTCTCCAGCACATAATACTAGTTCTCTAGTACAAGGTACTATTACTCTCCAGCACATAATACTAGTTCTCTAGTACAAGGTACTATTACTCTCCAGTACATAATACTAGTTCTCTAGTACAAGGTACTATTACTCTCCAGCACATAATACTAGTTCTCTAGTACAAGGTACTATTACTCTCCAGCACATAATACTAGTTCTCTAGTACTAGGTACTTTTCTCTCTCAGTACTAATACTAGTTCTCTAGTACTAGGTAGCTTTTCTCTCGCAGTACATATACTAGTTCTCTAGTACAAGGTACTATTCTCTCTCAGCACATATACTTAGTTCTCTTAGTACATTGGCTACTCTTATCTACGCTCATGCAATATACTAGTTCTCTGTACAAGGTCTTTCTCTCAGCTGCATAATACTAGTTCTCTAGTACAGGTCTTTACTCTCCGTACTAATCTGTTCTCTCTACAAGGTACTATTTACTCTCCGTACATAATACTAGTTCTCTAGTACAAGGTACTATTCTCTCTCAGCTCATAATACTGTTCTCTTGCTACAGGTACTTTACTCTCTGTCACATAATACTAGTTCTCTAGTACAAGTACTATTCTCTCTCAGTACAAATACTAGTTCTCCTCTGAGTCAAGGTCCTATTACTCTCTTTGCCGCATCAGATACTAGTTCTCTCTGTACTCAGGTACTATTACTCTCCAGCACATAATACTAGTTTCTCTAGTACAAGGCTCTGTCTACTCTCGCTCAGCCTTATACCTAGTTCTCTGTACAATGGTCTTTACTCTCCTTGACATAATACTAGTTCTCTAGTACAAGGTACTATTACTCTCCATGCACATAATACTAGTTCTCTAGTGCAGGTACTATTTACTCTCGCTCACATAATACTAGTTCTCTCTAGTACAGGTACTATTCCTCTCCAGCACATAATACTAGTTCTCTCTGTACAAGGTATATTACCTCTCCAGCCATAATACTAGTTCTCTAGCTACAGGTACTATTACTTGCTCTGCCAGGCTTTTCTGCTTTCTAGTACAGGTTACATTACTCTCCAGCACATATTCTAGTTCTCTAGGTCATGTGTTAGTGGTTTTTGAAGAGGAACATAGATCGAAGTAAAAATGAATAATTTTTTCATTCTCTGAGCTTGAATTTCTACTCTCGGAAAAAAATTGTTGTCTCACCCATCCACGGATGATGGGAGAAATACTGTATTTGTTAGGCCTTCAGGCTCTGTTCTCTGCTCTGCTCTGGCTCTGTTCTCTGCTCTGCTCAGGCTCTGTTCTCTGCTCTGCTCAGGCTCTGTTCTCTGCTCTGCTCAGGCTCTGTTCTCTGCTCTGCCCAGACTCTGTTCTCTGCTCTGCCCAGACTCTGTTCTCTGCTCTGCTCAGGCTCTGTTCTCTGCTCTGCTCAGGCTCTCTTCTCTGAAACAGGATGCAAAAGCCTGCTGCCGTAAGTGAAAAAGAATAAAGACATGTGTAGAACAGGCTTTTATTGTGACAACGTTTGGCTCTGTGTAGAGCTTTAGCAAATGATCATGAAATGAAGTTCTGCACAGAGCGATACGTTGTCATTATAAAGCTTCCTCTGTATCTGAAACATGTGAGGATAATTTTGTTTTAAGCTAGTAGAAAGAGCCGACATATATGTTTCTATTCCTTCTCTCTTGTAATTCATCCACATTCAAGCCACTGAGAGAATGAATTGAAGCAACCCTCTCATTTCGTGAAGCAAATATAATTACCTCTCGTTGTTTAGGTGCTGTTCGACGTCACAAACATAATAATATTTATTTGGATTTTAGTAAAGATTTTGGTAAAATACCGCACAAAAAACTGTTAAAGAAAGTGGCAGCTCACGGTATTGCGGGGAAAGTGCAGTCATGGATCGAGGCTTGGTTGATCAACAGCCAGCAGAGAGGGAGCATAAATGGGTAAAATCTGAGTGTGGATCTGTAACAAGTGGCCCAGTGTTGTTCATATTCATACATTAATGACCTTGACGAGGGAAGAACTAGTGATATGAGCAAATTCGCTGATGACACGAAGTGAGGCAGGATAATTGATTCCGAGAAAGATGTCACTAAATTTCAGGAGGATTTAAACAAACTCATGTAATGGTCAGAAAAGTGGCAGATGCAGTTTAAAGTAGATAAACGCAAATTCCTGAAGCTCGGGAGTGTCCATAACCCAAGCGCTTATAAACTAAATAATGTAGAACTTGGCCATACAGAATGTGAAAAAGACTTGGTGGTTATGGTAAACATCAACCTGAAACCTGGAATTTATATCATGAAGTATTAACAACAGAAGTCCAGAGGTTATGCTACAGCTCCACACATCATTAGTAAGGACACACTTAGATTATTTAGCTCAGTTCTGGTCCCCATATCTTAGAAAGTATTCTGTGATATGAAGAAAGATTGAAATCCCGTAAATTACATTCTTTTGTAAGACGAAGAATGAGGGAAGACATAATGAAGTGTAGAAGTGGAAGATGGGTATTAACAAAGGAGATATAAAAAAAATTCCTAAGGATATCCCTCCATGAGAGATCACGCAATACTGGATTCAAATTGGATAAGTTTAGATTTAGAAAGGATATAGGAAAGTATTGGTTTGGAAATAGAGTTGTCGATGAGTGGAACTGTTTGCCTAGTAAGGTTAGTGAAGTCAAAACATTGGTTAGCTTCAGATTTAGGTTGGATAAATACATGAGTGAGAGGGGTTGGATTTAAATGGGACTTGTACATGATTTCAAAGGGTTATCAAAGCTTATTGCTTTGGTAGCACTGAAAATGGGTTGGGGAAATATTTTTGTTAGTGGGTTGGATTTGAGAAGGAGCTGGGCCAAAGTGATTCTTTAAATGGGCTTCACAACCCCATTTAAAGAATCACTTTAAATAGGCATGTAAGGCCCATTTAAAGTAATTCTTTTCTGATGAAGTAACTATAAGCAGCCCTACTCTTTTCCTTCCACAGGACTGGCAGCTGCATATAAGGTACCTGCAGCCACGAGATGCAGGTGTTTATGAGTGCCAGGTGTCCTCACACCCACCCACCTCACTCTTCGTCCACCTCGAGGTCGTCGGTGAGTTTTAACGTTTCCTGGGCAATCCTAGAGAGTCTTGGATAAATCTGGAGAATCCTAGAGAGTTCTAGGAGTCCTGAGGAGTCGTAAGGAGTCGTAAACGCAGCATTAGTATCTAGTTTGGGATAATCCTTGATAATGAATAATAAAAACTGGTTTAAAAAAGGCGCACGAGCAAACAGCAGGATAAAAAATAACGTTTCCGTCACTGGATCTTGATCACTTGTTACACACAAGTACCAAGAAAAACAGTGTATACAGACCTAAAGAAAGAGGCTTTTGCTCACGTGTCTTTTTAAATCAACATTAGAACCAGTCACCGGGCATAAAACAGACTCTTAATAAACAATTATAACTTTTTTCATAGGGGAGATGCAGAGACTCAGCTTCAGTAATGAGTTCTCAAACAAACCACTGTAGGCGAGGTTAATAAGTACAATGGGTAAGTCAGTAATGGTGCACATGACATCCGCTACATATCATGTTATGAACCTAAATAAATGTATCAACGTATCATTTACAGTTTCGAGAAATTATATTTTAAAAAACATTTTTTTTCGTCTATTCGGGAGTTCGCTCTATTAAATGTACGGCATATTAGGTGTGTGTTCATGGCCAACAAAACTCACGGTCACAACTTGTGTCCGTGCTACAGACAATAAAATCTCACGATGAAATGTTTACTAAAGTGTCTGTTAATTGTCTTCAGTACAATAGGCTAATTTTGTTAATTTCTTCCCAAATTAGACCAATAATTAAAATCAGCTGTTTAATATCTGACAGTGTCTTTTATCGATTATGCATAAAAATAAAAATATTGAGAAACAGCAATGTATGGAGAAGTAAACATAATAATATACTCACTAATGATGAGAGAAAACCTGATAAAAAAAAATTATGAAGAGTTAGTGTTCCTTCTGCAAATGTTTCAGAACTGATTGAGTGATGTTTGTATAAATAATTTGTAAAAAAAAATATTTAACATGTATATGCAGTCGCCAGGGTAAATACATTTATATACAGTAAATGAATAGCCACTGTAAACGCTCACACCAGTGCCTTTGTAAATGTTTGCTACAATGTGTGAACAAGCGTCGCTATGAACCCCCACAACTAGCTTAATAGACATGCAAAACCGGAGAACTTGGACTTGCAGTTCGCAGTGTTACAGATGCATGACTTCTGATCTGATTACACAGGGGATATACGCCGAGAGGTGTGTATCTCAGTGTATATACTCCAAGCAGTGCACATATACACTCAGTTAACTTAAATCCTTCTCCTGGGGATTAAATTGTCTTTGATGCAAGCAATTAGGTGGATTGTTTCCTTAATGATCATCGTGAGAGTCGACTGGCGTTAATATTAACAATATATATAATATCAGTATACATAAGGGGGGATTACCAAATAGATCCCTGGCTGTCTTCACGAAGGCGCTGGACAGACACATAAAGTCAGTACCTGACCAGCCGGGCTGTGCTTCGTACATCAGTTTCCGTGCGGTCAGCAGTAACAGCCTGGTTGATCAGGCCCTGATCCACCTCGAGGCCTGGTCACGGACTACTCCGAAGGAGCGTTGACCCCCGAAACTCCTTGCAGATATACTCCAGGTATATACACGGGGAGGTGTATCTTTAATTTTTAAGGATTAAAGCATGAAAAAAAAATGTGATTTTCGAAAATGTTGAATGAGTCATTAATTAATATATTCTTGTTGATCAGCAACTATATGTAAGTTTTATTTTGTGTGGCAATTCAGCATAAATATTTGTGTATATAAGAAGCTCCAGACTCCAGTGCGGTATTAGATACAATTACCATAGAAAATTTTATGTGTTGTGGCCTTCAACACCATGATTAAAGAGTACATACATCTCTCTCAGTGTATTTACAATAAAACTGCTGCAGTTCTTCATTGTATATGGAGTCAATGTATAAAAGATGGAAATTATCTTGATACACTGCGGCCATAAAGTTGAATATATTATATATATATATATATATATATATATATATATATATATATATATATATATATATATATATATATATATATATATATATATATATATATATATATATATATATATATATATATATATATATATATATATATATATATATACATATATATGTATATTATATATATATATATATATATATATATATATATATATATATATATATATATATATATATATATATATATATATATATATATATATATATATATATATATATATATATATATATATATATAATATTCACCTGCCAGAGTATATACAGTTTCCTAACCTTACTCTGGATTGTTATATACGCGATGGTTAGTAACTAGATTGAGCCGTAAACCTAACAATGTAACCACTTGATTATGGTTCATAGTTGGCAACGATTCGCTGGTGTACATTAAATCGAATTTTGTTAATGGTTCCCGAATAACAAATGATCCCTAGTAATAACCACAGTTACCCCTGCTGCAGCGAACTATGTTTAATGCCACGTAATAATAAATTACCCCTGCTGCAGCGAGTAACAATTGATCCCTCTTAATAATCACATTTATCCATGCTGCAGCGAGTAATCATTAATCCTAAGTAATACCCCAGTTACCCCTGCTGCAGCGAGTAATCATTAATCCCACGTAATAACCACAGTTACCCCTGCTCCAGTGAGTATTCATTAATCTCCGGTAATAACCACAGTTACCCCTGGCCCCGCAAGTAATCATTGCTCCCACGTAATAACCACAGTTACCCCTGGCCTCGCAGAGAGATGGCAGCGATAACTGCTTTAATATATGAACCTTATTCCATTGCCGCCTAAATGAGGAGGAACGGAAACAAGTAAATCCAGCCAGGGGGAAAATATCCAAAGGCTTTTAGCCTCTTGGCTGGTAAATACAGTCTCTGGTATCCTACCAGCTTGCAGCCCTACCACGACCTACCACACCCCGCCACACCTTAGCATACCCTACCACACTCTACCACACCCTACCTCACCCTACCACACCTTTCATACCCCACCATATCCCACCACACTACACCCTACCACACCTTACTACACTGCACCACACCACTCCCCCCACACCCATCACACCCTACCACACCCTACCGCTCTCTACCACGCCATACCACACTCTACCACACCCTAGCACACCCTACCACACTCCACCACTTCCTACTACATTCTACCACACACTACCACATCCTGCCACACACCACCACACCCTTCCACATACCACCACACCCTACTACACCCCACCACACCTTACCACCCCCACCGCAGCCCACCACACCATACCACACACCATACTACACCCTACCAAACACCACCACACCCTACCACACACCACACCCTATCACACACCCACACCCTGCCATACACCACCACACCCTACCATACCCTACCACACACCGCCACACCATACCACACACCATCACACTGTATCACACTCTAACACACTCCACCACATCCCACCACAATCTACCACATACCACCACACTACACCCTACTACACCCTAGCACACCCCACAACACCACCATAGCCTACCCACCACATTCTACCACACCCCACCACACTCTACTACACCCTACCACGCCCCAGTACACCCTACCAAGCCCAAAAACACCCTACCACACCCCACCACACCACACCCCAACACACCCCATTACATTCTGCTACACCCTACCACACACCACCACACAGTATCACAATCTACCACACTCTACCATAACGTACCACATCCCACCACATCCTACCAGGCCCCACTATGCTCTATCACATCCTAACACTCCGTCACACCCTACTCTATCCCTTAAATATTCCAACACACCTCTTCGTACCCCACCACGCCTTAATACACTCCAGCACACCTTACCACACTTCCCCACTCTTCTTCATACCCCAGCCATATCCCACCACAGCTCACCACACCTTACCACATCCCAATGCTCCCAGTACTCCTCATCAGACCCCAAACTATGTGGGTTCGAGTCACTTTCGCAGTCAGAGTCTGAGTTATGTTTTAAAGAACAGAGTGAAACTGGTATGGTTATACCGACAAGTTGTAGGGCAAGAGAGACGTACACACTGATCAAGACATTTATTTAAGGGTAAGTTTCATCGCAAGTGGCTTTTCCAGTCATGATACAGAGAAGCTAAAACCTGCAGTATTTTTTGTACAAGTTGTCAAGTATACGTAGGTTAAGTGTGAGAGGAATCATTTTAGAGGTGGAGCTACCCTACCTTCGAAGGACACACATACAAATAACACTTTGATTTAGCCATGAGCTTACTTGTAAGTGCAGTCTTAGCTATTGCAGAAACAGACCATCAGGAGTCCAACGGGCAGCAAATAGGCAGCAAATAGGCAGCAAAGAGTTTGCATAAATGGGGAGAAATCAGAATGGGGGCACGTCACAAGCGGTGTTCCACAGGGGTCAGTGTTGGGCCCGTTGTTGTTCACAATTACATAAACGACGTAGATGAGGGAATGAATAGCGACTTAAACAAATTTGCCGATGACACCAAAATAAGCCGTCCAGTTCATTCTATTGAGGACATTAGTGCACTCCAGGATGATTTGAATAGACTGATGCAGTGGTCGGAGAAGTGGCAGATACAGTTTAATATAGACAAATGCAAAATGCTAAATGTTGGACAGGACAATAACCATGCCACTTATAAACTGAATAGTGTATATCTTAATACTACTGACTGCGAAAAGGATTTAGGAGTTCTTGTTAGCAGTAATCGGAAACCACGACAACAGTGCATAAGTGTTCGCAATAAAGCTAACAGAATCCTTGGTTTCATATCAAGAGGTATAAATAATAGAAGTCCTCAAGTTGTTCTTCAACTCTATATATCCTTAGTTAGGCCTCATTTAGACTATGCTGCACAGTTTTGGTCACCATATTACAGAATGGATATAAATGCTCTGGAAAACGTACAGAGGAGGATGACAAAGTTGATCCCATGTATCAGAAATCTTCCC